CAATGGTTTAATTGAAGCGTCTCCAATGACGGGAATAACGGCTCCAATTGTTGCTGCAACCTTTTTAAACATCTGGTTCGCTCAGTTTGTTGTCCCTCTTTATGTTGTAGCCGTGGTGCACAGTTTGAAAGTGAATTATTTCAAGAATTATCACGACTGATTTGATATTAATGTCTTATTGAAGTGGCTGGGATCGATGAGTCACTCGGAGACTCTTTACAATCAACCTGTACATTCTACTTTTTTTGGTAAGAAAAAATGTTGTTGTATTGTCTTCATGGATATATATAATGGATATGGCAAATCTCATATGTATATATATATATTCATACATCGGTTAAAATAAATTTTTGCTAAAAATCTTGATCCATAGAACCAAAAACGTCAATGAAAAATTAATTTTAAAAAACATTTAGCATTTTATCTATGTTTAGAATATCGTCTAATTTTCGATTATCGTCATAGCTTCCGTAGTTGAGTTATTACCAAATAAGAATTTCGCTTTAAAAAACTAGCAACATAAGTTGGTAATGTTTGATTGCTAACGTTGCTTGTGTGTTTTAGTTGCGTTGGGCTTTTTTGATACTAATTTCCAAAATTACAAGTTGCTCTGTTATCCCTCACTCCGCTCTGCAATGGATATTCTGATAATCAATTAGAATCATTCATTCATATTAATTTGTCTTTACGGTTTATTTTATTATTGTTATAAACGTAATATGTAAATTCATGAGAATGTATACCAAATGTATGACTGCTCATAATTACTGTAATAACAATAGCTGACAATCATACATTTGAGTACCTTTTTTTTCTTTTTTTTTGAATATCTGAAGCTGAACCAAATTTCATAAAACTTTCATGTTGTCTCTTGAATTTGCATTGTATATATAAAACATGGGAAAATGTCTGCTTTCAATTTTAATAGTTTTTAGTTATTGATAAAAGCCAGAGTAAATTAATGACTAATCTGCAAATATATTGTATGCCATGAATATGAAATGGACTGTTTTTAGCAAACTGTGTTAATTCTACATTTAATCAGTGATAAAATAAGTAATATTTAAATAAATTTTTTTAAATGTATTTTTCAATAATTTACTTTTAGCGATTAAAATAAGGTTAGTTTTATAATTAAGTGCAAATCATTTAAAATCAAGTCAATGGCAACTAATTTGACAACAAAAAGACACAAATGTTTGAAAATATTTTATTAAAAATTGTAAATGAAATGAAATTATATCTTTTTTTCCACAGAAACTTCCAATTGATAAAACATTATCTAAAGTTTATCTCAAAAAAGTTATATTTTGTATGAAAAAATTAATTAGATCAATCTTTGTTTTGCGTCCAGAGACCCGGTTTCCCGACGTAGGACGTTGTTTTCTTTGCCATCAACTTTTTGCGCCAAATTAGACGATCAGTTGTATCCATTTCATTTAAATTTAGAGCTTTCATGTCTTGCTCGATTGTTTGCGACCAGGACTTCTTTGGACGGCTTTTGGGACGTGTGCCAGGTACTTCAACATCTGCAAGAGAAGTTATGGCACTGTTTCCACTTCGTTTGACATGACCAAACCACCGCACTGCGTGCTCGAACGGCAGCTACAGCTGTTCCAGTACAATCAAGAACGATGTGACTTTCTATAACCTGATGGCTTCAAAAACAGTGCTATTTCGAATTTGTTGTTGTGGATTGATGCAAGCAGGACAAACAAAATTGGACACTTTAGATAAAGTACCAACTATTTTTGAACAACGTTTGTGACACCACTGGTTACACTGCTGAAACTTGATTGAATTGTTAACTACACCAGCTTTACAAACTGAACAGGGCCATCGTCCAGTAGCTGTAAATTGGATGGGTTCACCAGTGTTCATAGCTTTGGTTTTGCTGATGTTGACTTTGAATCCATGATCGGCGAGTCTGGTGTTCCAATCTTCAAACATCTGTGCTGCATTCTGCTCAGACGTGGCTGTTAAAACGATATCATCAGCATATATTAGATTCCAAATGTCACCAGTGCGTAACGGTTTCTTCCATCACAGTTATAAATAACAGTGGACTGAGAATCGAGCCTTGGTGAACTCCAACGCCGATGTTAAATGCATCTGTGTTTCCAACCATTGTGCTGACGAGAGTCTTAGTATTCGTATACATTTCCATCACAATTCGAACAAGATATTCTGGAATAAGTTGTCGACGTAGACTCCACCTGATTGCTTCACTTCGTTTGACATGACCAAACCACCGCAGACGGTGTTGCCGGCATTCGTCCTTTATATCATCTAAACCAGCACCACGCAGGATTTTGGTAGATTTGATGTGGTCCTTCAGACTAATTCGTTGCATCCATCGGAGAATTTTCATGTCGGTTCGTTGAAGTTGTTGTTCCAGTTTGGTTGTCATTGGCCATGTTTCTGCACAATATAACAACACCGGACGTATCACAGATTTATAAAGTCTTTGTTGTAGTGGTAGTGGGATGTCACGCCGCATCAATATAGACCCAAGAAATGCCATTTATTCTAGGCTGCACGTATGCGTGCTCGAACGGCAGCTTCAGCTGTTCCAGTACAATCCAGTACGATGTGACTTTCTCTACCTTGATGGCTTCAAAAACAGTGCTATTTCGAATTTGTTGTTGTGGATTGATGCAAGCATGACAAACAAAATTGGACACTTCCAATCTTCAAACATCTGTGTTGCATTCCGCTCAGACGTGGCTGTTAAAACAATATCATCAGCATATACTAGATTCCAAATGTCACCAGTCTTTGTGAACTCCGACGCCGATGTCAAATGCATCTGTGTTTCCAACCATTGTGCTGACAAGAGTCTTAGTATTCGTATACATTTCCATCACAAATCGAACAAGATATTCTAGAATGAGTTGTCGACGTAGACTCCACCTGATTGCTTCACGGGGAACTCGATCAAGGTCTACAAAAATGTGTGATAGTTGTTGATGCTTTGCGAGGTACTTCTCTTGCAGTTGCCAAAGGATGTGAATTGCATCAATTGTTGATTTCCCCGCTAGGAAACCAAATTGATAATTTCCGATTGTGATGCACGACGTTAATCTTCTCCCAATGATTTTCTCAACAATTTTCAGGGAGTGTTCTAACAGACGTATACCCCGATATGATGAACAGTTCAATGGATCACTTTTGCCTTTGTATAGCGGGACTGTCATGCTATAGTTCCATTCAGTCGGCATTGAGCAATTTCTCCAGATTTCACGGCAAAGTTGCAGTAACGTTTGGATACCTGCAGTACCAGATGCTTCAATAATGTCATTTGTGAGTACAGAGGGCCCTGCTGCCTTTCCATCCTTCATAGCTTTCAGAGCTTCTGTAAGCTCCTCTATAGTGATGTCTGGAATCGGACCTTCGATGGGGTTGAGCATCAAAGTTAACACTGATGGGATTTGTTTCGTTTAACAGACGGTTGAAGTATTCTCTCCACTGTTGCTTGATCTCATCCTGTTCAAGAACCATCTCATTTTTGTCATTTTTGATGCTTGAGGCACCAACTATGTCTTTTTTCGTACGCTTAGCTTGTTTTGCTATACGATATAGAGATTTCATTTGTTCACCTTTGCTTTTACAGTGATGTCTGGAATCGGACCTTCGATGGGTGGAGTACAAAACACACTAAATGTGTTCAAACGTGAAAAAACTTTAGGAGTGGACATTCTTCCTCAAATAACATTTGTGAAAGAGGAAATATATATATCATCATGATCATGTACATTTATAGGCACTCAACGCAGAACCACCCAGTGTTAGTTCCCCGGTTCGCTGTTGAAAACTCTGGTTTGGCCTTGTCGCATACATTTAACCGTCTTTTCCATTCTTCTCTATTCTGGGTCAGTTTCGGTTTCTGGCCCAATGCCCTCATGTCTTTTGAAAACACTTCTTCCCAGGTGAGCTTGGTTATACCACTTTTCCTTAAACCGCCAAATATAATAGTTCTACATTTTCCTACCTAATACTCATTCATTTGTTTTCCTCTCTACAAAGCCAAACCATCACAGTCTATTACATCTAATTACATCTGACAACTCCTCTATTCCTAAATCTTCATTACTTAAACCATTCATCAAGGATACTCCCACTATTCTTCTCCACATCTGCATTTCTGTCCTCTCCAGCCTTCTTAAGGTTTCAGCCATCATAGGCCAAGTTTTGAACATTATACAATAGGCTACTTCTTACACATGCTTTATATACCTTAGCCTTCAGGCTCAATGGTATTCTCCTAAAACAGAATTTTTTTGAATTTTCCATCCTACTTTTATTCTTTTTTCGACCGCTCTATCCAGTCCACCCTCCGCACTTAGTATATCACATAGATAACAAAAAAATTCAACTATTTCAAATACCAAGTTTTTGTTGAGGTCTCCTTTCAAAACACAGCATCTTTTGTGTTTCCATTTATCACATTTTACACATAGTATTGAATTTCATCTTACTCCTTTATCACAAACAGCACAGGAGAATTTACCACATTCAACAGTATCTGAATTCTCTCCATTCCACACAATTTACCAACATTTACTTTTACACCCTTTCTGTCCATGGATATTTTCCAAACTGAAAGCTTTTTTTTCAGTTACTTCTCAATTTCTGCTATAAGAACCAGGTCATCGGCATACAAAGTCTACCGTGGCAATCCACTTCTGATCTCCCTACTAATCATTTCTAATACTATAATAAAAAGTAGAGGACTTAGCGCTGAACCCTGATGTAAACCCACCTGAACATCAAACGACTTACCTACACCATGGTAGATCCTCATCGCCGTCTTGACTTTTATACATACACATCACTGTGTCTACTCTTTTACGTCGCCTTTCCTAAGTATCGATCTAACCACTTCTTTTGGTACCTTATCATAATCTTTTTCTTAGTTCTGAACTTTTCTTGATTTTGTCAAACAATAAAAATTGCATCAATAGTACTTTTCCATGAAGATAAACCAAACTGCATTTCGTCAATACTAATCCCTTTCTTTTCTCACATATCTCCATATCTTGTTCTCTTGCACTGGCTACCTATAAAATATAGAATAATTTTTAAAATTTGCACGTTCATGTATAAGTCTCAGTCTAAATTATTTCCTAAGTATTTATCAGATATATTAATTGAACCTAAACGCCCCGGTTTACGATTGTCTTCTTGTCTCGCTTTTTCTTAACTCGTGTTAAACGCTCTTTTGCCAAATCTGCTTTTGCTTTTTCTGGTCCTTTTCTCTGGAACTCTCTACCTACTTCTCTGACTACTTCTCCATCACTTGCGAAGTTCAGAGCGGATCTCAAGACCCATCTGTTTTTTAAAATTCATTGAGGAGCGCTGTTGAACATCGCGGAAATAGCGCTTTATAAGGTAATTGATTGATTGCCAGTTAAATTTACTTTGCTTAAATATTTACATAATAGTTCCATTATTAAAATTATGATAGGTTTAATTTAACTAATATATTAATTGCTTTATTTATTTTAATTTAATATTTAATTCAGGTGCATGACATTCGCGATATGCAGCGGTCGATAATTAAAAACTCACTTAACTTTTATTTGTTTGATCTATTGTTTACACATAGAGCAATATTTAATGTCAAAGTTTCATATAAATAACACTCAAAAAATAAAAAATTTTTTTTGTTAGATGATTAAAATTAAAAAACTAAATAAAACAAAAATTTTTATTATAATTAATATATTATGAAAAATTATAATTGTAAATTCAAATCCAATCACTTTATGTCGATCATTCACTTTTATTCGTTTTACCTGGCTTTTAAATCTTAAGCTAACTAATGAAATGTAAATAGCTGAATGATTAATTAAAATGAGGTCCGAGCCAGTTTTGTTGAATATTTTTTGGCAGTTGTGTGTGTTGCTGCAATTAATAAATGCTTCCTTGGTTCACGTCAGCGTCGGTGAAGCTAGTAATATTTTTGAAGGCATCGGAGCAATAAGTGGTGGCGGTGTGAGTTACTCCTTTATTTATTTTATTTTTATATTGTTAAAATAAAATATAAATAAAATAATCATTGTCGGACTTACACTATGTCGTTTCTTTAAAATTATAGTAAACATTAACAGGCGAGGATGCTACCTTATTTAAAATTTATAATTTTTTCATTTTCATATAATTTGGTTTGGACTAGCAGGTCGCATAACGTTAAATTAAAAAATGCGGAAGCGCGCGCGCTGAACCTTAACAAATTTTCCTGAAAGTGAATTTACATTGTTATCGCAAACTCGCGTTTTCGTCGTCGTTATTTTTGTTTAATTTTCGAAAATGCGCCCATCTATATAATTTTTGGTTGTTATGAGCGATAAAAGAAATGTGTATTATTATAAAAATATTTTTTCTTTGTTGTTATGAGCCACATTTGTTGCAGACTCTTCGCTACGAGGTTGGTGTATTTTAAATTTTTTTTTTAAATTAGTAAAACATGAGCAACACCGACTTTTTTGAAGAAATGTGATAATTAACCATTTATTAACATTCCATAAAAAATATTTTTGAAATTAGAGTATGAGAAATTTTTTTACGGGTTTTTTTCGGCGCGCACCACGCGGTCACGAAAATGCATTTTATTGGTTGTGTTTTTTTTATAAAATGTTCATAACTGCTAAGTTTCATAAGCAACACCGAATTTTTTTGAAGAAATGTGATAAATAACCATTTATTTAACGTTCTATATATATATATATGTATATATATAACCATTGTAATATGATTATGATTATTAAATTTTAATATATAAATTATAGATATATATAAATTTATTTTATAATTTTATAATATATTTATTAAATTTAATTAATCATTTATAATTAAATTTTATTATAAATATAAATTATTCATAATCATTATTTTCTTATTTTACAGCTGGTATAAAAACAAGAAGAAAAAATTGTGTTGTGTTCGATTTTAAATCGTTCTTTTCACGTCTTGTGCGCGAATATAACATTGAGCGCCACTCTTAACATGGCGCAAGTTGAAAGTAAAAATAATTCTTTCAAAATTCGTTTTTTCGGTAACAATAATAAATTTGGTATTATTTTAATCAGCAAATTTTAATTATAAGAAAAAGAAGTTTATATACAAAAAAAATTTTTTTTTAAATCGTCCGATCGTGGAGAGACAGAAAACAAAAACATGCAATAGGAAATTACTCACTTTGAACCAGATTTGTGGATTGGAATGACTTTTGATATTTTAAGGGCACTAAGAAAAAACCTTGGTCCATAGATTTGTTATATAGTGTGGCTATATAGTGTGGATAAATTGGATATTAAATATGCTTGATAATTTTATTGGTTATATTATAATGATCTAGTGCATTTGAATTGGAAAATAATTTCTTCAGAGTTTGTTGGTTAAAAAGATTATTGTGCATTATTGTAGATTTTTTGCTGTGGAAAAAATCTGCCATCAGTAAAGTCATTATAAGACAAATTTGTGAAAAAACATTGAAATAATTTGTTATTTATTTTAAATCATCAATTGGTTTCTATTTATAAGGATAGGATAATTCAAAGATTCTTTTTGCTTATTTATAATTGTTTTGATTATTTTTCTAGTGGTTTTAGAACCTCCTCCCTCTAAGCAGTTTTTAATCAGATCAACATTTGCAAAAAGAGTATTTGGTTTTATGTCCAGCTTAGGCTCATTTTTTGGCTTATTAATGAGGTCAACTGTTCTAGCATGTGGGGTCTCCTGAAGAGGAGTAGCCTGGTTTGGGCTAACAAGTTTATTAAAAAAATAGCCAAAGCCTACAATTTTGAGTTTTTAATTTTGGACTTTTTGCTAATCATATTTGCGTCAGTGTTGTGTTTTGTGAGGCTGGTTTAGCAATGTAAGTAGAAAAAGTAGTTCTAGCACTTTTTCCCAAATATGTAGATATTTGATTATTTAATTTAATTCATTTTTAAGCGATAAAATTTTGTTGTTTAACATTGTAAATTGGGAACGAAAGTTTTCTAAACCAATGTCACTTAACTTAGGATAACGCTGGATTTCTTCTGCATCCTAATCACTTGGAAAGTTGAACTGTACAGCAGCATATGTTGGTAGATAATGAAATATTTTCTTGGCCATAATATGAGTTAAAATATCCCTAATATCGTTTGTAACTTTACGGTTTTTTCTTTTCTTTGGTTGTGCTCTGTAACAAACAGTTTTTTGTCAGGCCAGTAAAAAGTAGTTCTTGGTTTTGATTATAAGTAGCCATCCAAACATTTTTTACTTCGTAATTTCTTATCCAATCTATCATCCTATTAAAAAAAATAATGATTTATTAAATAAAATAATAATTTGTTAAATAAAATGATTTTTTGTCATATTGTAATAATAATTTATATAAAAATAATAATTTATTTACTAAAATAATAATTCATTAAATAAAATGAGAATTCATTAAAACTTTTTCAAATGTATTTTATCTTGTCATAGCCTCTTAACCTAATTGTCAGCAGAATTGATTGGAGTCAAAGATTTTGTGTCAGAATTTTTAATGATTCGTCGTCAGATACTTTCCATTTTACATCGGAAAGTGTTGATAATTTTAAAAATATTGCCTGCGTTGAAAAAATTGATAAAGATCTTATATTCAATCATTTTACCAATCAGAAAATTCTTCGTGAGAAAATTTTTCGCAGGAAAATTCTCCACAGGAAAAATTCATCGCAGGGAAAATTATTCGCAAGAAAATTCTTCTCAGGGAAAATTCTTTGTAATGGATTTTCAGTTTTGCTAAGTGCTCTATGATAAGGCTGTTGTTTTATTGTTTTAATTAAATGAACAAATTCTGTTAAGTTTATTGCTTCAGAAATTAAAACATTACTCTATAGACAACTTTTAATTATTTGAAACAAAGATATTGTCCATTGTTTCCTTCATTTCGTGGTTGCTCATCTTTTAAGCCATTGATAAATATCCAAAGAGTCGGGTGACTTACTCCAATTAATTTGCCAAAGACTCTATGTCATCCTTTGCAAGAATTATTAGTTTTGGGAGCGCCCATTAATGCAGCATCATTACAATAACATAGTTCGTATCGAAAACTGGAAGGGCTTCTTTGACGACGATTTGGAAGTCCCATCCATGTGTCCTCAAAGTAATTTATGACTAATACCCACCCCTTCAAATTCTCCTGATAGCTTTTCAAGCTTTTCAACAGTATCAGCTAGGGGTACAAAAGCAAGGGCCGCGAGCATCCACATCTTTAGAGCAAATTCAGCGTCTGTTTTATAACGTTGTTGAAAAATATTAGCTTAAATGTTACGCAAAATCCACTGGCTGAAGTGGAAAAAACAGCCTTTTTGTCTCGAAGCTGGGAACGATTCACCAAAAGCATTAATAGCTGGCAGTTCAAAGTCGGTCATAATCGAAGCTGGGGCCAAATTGGGCTGTGAGCAAATAAGTTGATTAAGAAAACCACGATAAATTTGTTCAGTTTTTGATGGTAATAGAGCAAAAACCGCCGGGATAACACGGTCACCATCAATACCATGAATTGTGTATAGTTGATAGAACAATAGTTGCACAATTTCGAAAGTTTCATCAGCGTACCAATTTGTCGAACTGGAGAGGAGTTAAAGATTGATTTTTTTTATGTGGAAAAAATGAGAAACCGATATGGACCATCATTACTATAGGCAAAAGAAACTGATCGCCAGCGTATGTAATTTGATAATCGGCTGGAATATTGAGTTCTTCCAGTGAAGTTGGATTTGGTGGAGAACGATTCACCGTCTGTCTAGCGTTGCGAACTCCTTTTTTGAACGTGGTAATTGAAGGCAGTTGACCAACGACTGGTTGTGATAAATCAACAAATGCATCCTTAATTAACCGATGAGTGGCATTCTGCTTTGTTTTTGCTTTTTCTTTGATCACGTTGACAACCCATGCTGCTTGGATTTTTGCAACATTTGCAGCATGGTTATGCTCATTTATTGCTCACGTTTTAAAATTTAAGTATCGTCTGAGTGTAATCGGGCTCGACAATGGATACGTTGAAATTCGCTGCATTTCCATAACATTTTTTGATCTATAGCTCTATCCTTGACGTAAGTGTGACCAGTGTCTAATTTTTTCTTTTTCGCTTATCAAATATTCGAGAGATATATTGTCAGAAAAGTATTAAGACAAAAACTTGTTAAAAATACAGAAGAGTTTTTGAGATGTCAGTGAAAACACCTCAATCACATAATACTAACCAATTAATTTTTTATCTTCTAGCGATGAATTTTTGGCAAATAGTTCTTTTAAAATACAGCAATTGTTAATGTCGCAAAAGTTTTTAATTATGAATGAAAACGGTGACCAAACAAAAAGCTCGGACAAACCCCGTTTGCAATAAACCCCCAAACAAAAACGCTCACTAAAGAATATTTCGAAAAACTCACAACAGAAAAAGCGCACAGTTTTTGTTCATGGTTTTTTTGTCCGTTGGATTTTTGTCAAAGGGTTTTTGTTCAGGAGGATTTTTTGAGGAGTTCTTTTCCGGGGGTAATTGCCAATATTTTTTATACAGCTGCAAACAATAAGTGATTCTTAATAATGCAAGAGAGTATTATTTTAAAGTATATTTTTAAAGATAAATATTAAAAAATAGTTATACTTTAAATAGTATACTATATAGTTATAATGATTTTCCTCATTTGATTTTTAATGATTGAAAAGTGTCTTATTTTATTATAAGGTAGAGAAATTTATTTTAAATTACAAAGCAAAGTTTGAAAAACTTTATAGTAGTCGGAATCTGAGTCGGGAGTTGGAACCGGAAAGTTTTTCAGAGTTTGAGTCGGGCAAATTTACTTCAAGTGTACCTTTAGGCAGGCATACGAGATTGGTGTAATTGAGTTTATCTGTTTTGCAATTAAAAATCAATTTTAATCAATCTATTTTCTAATGTATTATCAGTGTCAATAATTTCCACGTGACGTAGAAAAGTTGCCAAAAATAAAAGATATTTTAAATTTTCTGTTTTTAACAAATTATTCCTTTTTTGAGCAAAATGCTAATGTAGAAATGACATCAATTTTGATACTTTTGTTTCGAAGTGCATAGTAGGTGCTTATATCAATCAATACATATTTTTTAAATGGTTATTTAATTTTTTTTTGAATTATATATAGTTTCTGGCTGATGTTAACGACTGATTTTTAATCTGTTTCCAGGACCTCTTAAGCCAATATTCATTTTTAAAGATGGCATCCACTAAATATTAATTTTTTTAACTTTATATAATATTTTGCTTGATATATCAATATGAAATGTTCGTTTTTTTTGTTGTTTTGTTTTGCATCATATTTGAAAAAAGTGTGGTTTATCGCTTTTTTTAGTTTTAATGATGATTTAGTTATTGTGCCCAGACCATATGGCCTAAACTAATTATTTTTTTTAAACATTATTTTAGTGAAAAGTGGTTTTATTTTTAATATACGGTATAATCGGATTTGAGCTGAGACTTTAGTTAGATTTTAAACGATTTATTATCAGACATGCTCTCAAATGACTCAAGTTATTTGACGATTGAATATCTTTATTCTAAACAAAATTCATTAAAATTACATGAAAAATTTTATATATAGATATGATTTTTTTTTATTCAAAAAACAAATTATTTTTATATATCGGCAATATGTTGCATAAAAATCCGAGTCATTACTGAAATTTTATAGTTGAAGATTCCTTGAGATCATTGCTTTTGTCGACCTGTGACGCAATTTGTTAAAATCTTTATTTTATTTGCAATTGAACATTTAAAAAAAAATTCAATATTTTAATTCTAACTACAACAGTGTATTTAAAATTTATTTTGTTTACATCATACATAGGCCACTTCAAAATTGCTAGTGAACTACCCTGAGCAACAGAGAAATGAAATTTTGGATTATCTTTTTAAGGTAATTCAATTGAATGATATTTTTTAAAAAGATTGAAGTTACAGTAATCTAACCTCGTCTCGACAACACAAATGATACCACAAAACTTGTAAAAATATCAGCTAATAGGCAATTTTTGGTCTGATATAATTTACGCAGCTGTAAAAAACAAGCTGTATGTACCAAGTTTCACTGCATGTGGTAACAGTCAAACAGTACAGTACTCCTAGGTATTTGACCGTTTTAACTGCGTGCAACCGGTTACCAAGCACACCGTAAGTTGTACTAGCGATTTCAGCCATAACTTTTCTTGACCCATACTAATTTAACTCTGTTTTTTCAGTATTTAACTTCAAATGCTTCAGATTCAACCAATCATTTATGTACTTAATACATCTAATCATTCTTTCTGAAATTACCCTAGCATCTTTTGCTAATTCAACAGAACAAATCTGAAGATCATCAGCATACATGTGAACCCAAAACCAGGTTTATTCACCAAACCAGGCAAATGTGAAACATACATCAAATGGCTCTAAAACTGAACCCTGCGCGATGCCAGTCACTATCACCACTTCATCTGACATCAATCCATCAGAGAGAGTTTTTGCGTTCGATCCATCAAAAACGAAGCAAACCAATCCAGAACCATCCCAGTAATACCAAAAGTAACGGCCAATCTCTTTAACAGCATATCATGTCAACTCTATCGAACGCTAAACTGAGGTCGAGTAAAACCAATAACACCGCCCTACCATTATCTTCCTAATTGATACTGTCACAACTCCTTTGGCAAAGCTGTTTCTATGGATGACCCTGGTCTGTAAGCTGACTGAAATTTTGGCGACAACCGGTGGGCAGACCGGTGACTAAACATACGAGCAAGCACCTATTATTCAACTAATCAATGACAACATTTTTTGAGGGTTATGGCATTATTTTTTTGTTTTCTGTCCTTGTCAATATTATCATTATTATAGGTGAGCTCCACGCGGTAGGTTGCCGTGTCCACTGGTTGTTATCATTTTGCACGGTCGTGAGAAAGTTTTCGGGCTGAATGTGTTCCAGTGCTGATAAGCAATAGGTCTGCCGCTATTGAGCACATCCAGGTCTGCCTTGTGGCCAAACAGGGTAAGACGCCGTCTAACAAGAAACTTGACTGGCGGCTGTTGTGTTCTCTTTCTAACCTCGGTGTTTTTGACATGAATACGGTATGATAGACGAAGAATTATGCATAAACACCATTGATTTGTGGCTTCTTCAGCAGCACGGGATGACATAAACGTTGCAGAGTGTGTATTTTCTATAAATAATTGACTTTTTTTGTTATCTTGAATTTATATTTTGTTGCAATTTTTTTTGATTGGATTTATTTTGGATCATTACTTTTCTGTTACTCTCTACTAGATGGCTCTGCAAGCGCAAGATTCGGGTCTCCTAGTATATAGCATTTGTTGTTCTCATGTATTGATTTGATAAGTAAAAGCTTTATTGAATTGAATTAAATTTAATGATTTTTTTTAGGTTTTATCCAATGAATGGTTTTCACTATATTTCAGCTTATGAATGTTTTTAATTAGGTTTCATCAAATAAATGATTTTCATTAGGTTTCATCCGAAAATGTTTTTATTTGGTTTTATATGATGAATTGTTCTAACTTATTTATTATGTTTCATACGATAAATGTGTTCTTTGCAGCCATATTATGGCGCCTCATTGCAGATCTTGAAAGTCGAAATAGGAGGTGATTCGCAGAGCACAGGTTATTAAAGTGGTTGGATTTTTTAATATTAAATATCAACGTTTGTTGACCGATTTTAATGCTTATATATTAAATATCTGTTTTAAGATTTTTGTTCATTTTTTAGTTTTTTTAATTTCTTTAATGATGAAAATTTTACTCCCTGAAATTAAATTATGTACAAATGATTACGCAAATGTTGGTAGATGGCTCAGAATCGTCGCACATGCACGCAGAAGATGACGAGGATTACAACAGAGGATACCAGTGGGGGATCATGAAAGAAGCAAAGAAAGTAAATCTGTTTCACTCCTTCTTTCTTCTTTTTGTTACAGTCTCTTTGTTTCAAAAACTAAGTTGCCAATAATTTTGTCTGAATGTTAAAACATGATGCTTCTAGTTTAAAAGATAAGGCCGTGGTTAGTAATGACCGATGTGCTAAAATGACAAGTTATGACTTCTAGTTAGGCAAATATCCTGAATCTTTAAGCTTCTAAATATAACTAAAAATTTAGATTTTCAAATTTCTTTGTTTTTGTTGATGATTTTGTAACGTGGTTAATATAGCATAGCATCTGTTAAGGATGCTTATGACCATGCGGCAATATTTTGATATGATAGCATAATGGTGATGATAATAAAAAATATGAACAGTAATTTAATTTTTTAAATTTTTATGTCGTAAATTATAATTTTTTGGATCTTATAGTGCAGCCCCGTTAAACGCAGAGCTGCTTACGTGTTATTCTAAACTTATAATTAAACCTTCGTACCACAAGGCATGGGCGTAGCCAGGGGGAAGGGTTTGGGGTTCAAACCCCCAGAAATGAAGAAAATATAATAATGTGTACTTATGTTTAATTGAAAAATTTTCTTAAAAAATATTCTATAAAATTTAACGCTATAAATTTTTTGTTTTTGCAGTGAGACATGGGCTATAAAAGCGAGAGATATGCAGCGTATGGAAAAGGCATAAAAAATGTTGAATAGGTGGATATGTGGCATAACACTGAGGGACATGAAAACGAGTGAAGAGCTCCGACAAAGGTTAAATATAGTAAAGGTGTGTGATAGAGTGAGACAGGGTAGATTGAGATGGTTTGGACACGTGGGACGGAGAGAGGAGGATGACTGGGTGTCAGCATGTAGACATGTGATAGTTGACGGGGAGAAGGGTAAAGAAAACGGAGGAAAAACTTGGAAGGAGTGTGTGGCAGATGACATGAGAAAGATGAAGTTGAGCAGGAAAGATGCACAAGACCGCGATGTATGGAGGAGTTGCATCCTTGGAAACCGTCCAACCAATCCGTGCATACGCGGATCCACGAACATTAAAACGATGATGAAGTTCACGATATTCGATGAACTTTAGATATAATTAATAAATATTGTCTTTGGTAACAGAAAATCTTTACATTAGATCGTGTTTGTAGTTCCCTGTCTTCCTTTTTTGCCTGTTGCTACGACTAATAGCGTTAAAAGTTGTATTATATTATATCCGATTCTATTGAAATTTAATTTTCCTTGATTTATTGGTAGTTTAAAACATTTTAAGAAGTTAGAAAAGCTCGACTTTTTGCCATTTTAGCAGATGGTATTTACTGATATTGCAAATTTTGAGCAAATGTAACTTTGCCTGCGTTATGTTGATTCTGATGATTCTAAGAACCACACTATCAAGGAAATGTTCCTTGGATATGTACCAGTTGTTGATGTCACTGGCAGTGGATTGGCTACTACAACTCTTGATAAAATTAAAAATAATGGTTTAGAATTTTCTCATTTGGTTAAACAAGGTTATAATGGAGCTGCTTCAATAAGTGGGTATTTGCATAGTGCTTAAGCTTATGTTAGAAAAGAGTGTAATCATCCTTTATATGTTCATTGCAGTGCACGATCTCTTAATCTTTCTATTGCTGATTCTTGCTCACAGTCAGAAATCCGAAACTGTATAGGCAGTGTTCAATCTGTTGGTAATTATTTTAAATTTTCTGCCCAACGAACTGCTGCACTAAAAGAAAAAATATGCCAAGTTTTGACATTTCCAGCAAACCACAAAAAATGTTTACTTGCTATGTGTGATACGAGGTGAGTTCACAAACTCGAACCTGTCATAAGATTTAAAGAGTTTTATCCAGCGATCATAGCTACTCTTAATGAACTGAAGAATCATCGAAATAGCGAAACTTCCCAACAAGCAGTCAAACTTCTTTGTACTACCCTCGATTCTGATTTTGTGATTGCTTAGTAATATTAGAAAAAGTCATGGGTTATATATACATTTCCACTTTTAAAACAATTGCAAGAAACTGAGAAACTGACACAAACCTCACTGTGGCATGTTACGTATGGACAATATACCAAATTACTTCCTAAATCTGCCTTGGAGAGCCTGGATATGTGCAATAAAATTTTTTTGACAACTTTGCCTGTATCAACTGCAATTCCAGAAAGAACATTCTCAAGCCATGTCTGTAGCAAGAATCTCTGCGGTGTATATTGAAGTAATTCCTGGTAGGTGCATCATTAAACCATGAATCCGTATCCTTTGCCAGTAGACCACCATTGCTGCAGACGTTGAATTTTTTCTTGTTGACCCATCCGTATATAGTTGAATAAAATTTAAATTGTTATTAATTTTTTCTTTAACTAAGGTTTTTGCTAATTTCACATCTTTGCCCATTCCTGTTATTGTCGTATCAATTTCTGGATGCTTTAGTAACCAAGGAGGAAATTCAAACTTTAATTCATCCACGGCTTTTATATTTTTAATGTCTTTGATGACTTCATTTAGTCTTATTGAAAATGTTGGAATTCATTTTGATTTTGGTACTTTGGCTTTTGCTGTTATGTATTTGTATGCCGGGTTTTTTGTTATCTGAGATTTAATTTTTAGATAGTAAATTATGGCTATATTTGGTGTCTTAAATTCAATGGCATTTCTCCTGCCAAAACATGGAGACTTATGGATGGTGATGTTTTGTATGCTCCTAGACACCTTCTTAACGTATCGTTGACTATTGGGTGTAGAATCTTCATGTAGGATTTTTGTGTAGAGCCATAGACTGGAGAACCATAAACCAATATTGCTCATATAATTGCTTGGAAAATTGTTATCAAATGCTTTTGTTTTGCTTCCCATTTATGTTAGGATAGCACTTTGATTAAATTGAGTGCTTTTAGGCATTTTCTTTTTGTTTTTAAATTTTATTCCATTTTCCAGTGCCCAATTTTCAATGGATTTTAGAGTTTTGTTTATTTCATTCTGCATTTTATCATGTCTTTATTTTTAAAAGTGATTGTGACATCATCCATGTAAAGACAGATCATCGTGTTTTAGGAATTATTTTTGTGATATTATCTAAGCTAAGACAGAATAACTCTGGTGACAAAATGCTGCCTTGAGGGATACTCAACTCTGGATGCAATGTTTCTGAAAGGACATTATTGACTTTGACTTTAAATGACCGGTTTGAGAAGACGTCATCTTAATCCGGATTCATGTATTTTTTTTAGGTTACCATATTTCCAAGCTGTGTCATAGGCTTTTTCAATGTCCAAGAACAGAGTTATCACTTGTTCGCTCTGTATTAAAGCTTGTCTTATGCAATGTTCCCTCTAACCTGCGCGGCTGCGCGCCCGCGCAGTAGTTTGAATACGCTGGCGCAGCTAATTTTCCTTCCGCGCAGTAAATCAAACAACTAACTCGATATTGTAAAAATAAAAGTTTACATAATTTTTTTTCCAATTTTATATTACCAAACCTCGTATTTTCAATTTTTTTTTAAATTAAGCACTACATCGTTAGTCATATTTCGCTGCATTTATCATTTATGTTAGGCATATCATCAGTTATGTTAGGCAAAAGGAATGGAGTTGTTGCGTTGATTCGTGCTGAGGTTCCGCATCTTACTGAACAACATTGTGTAGCGCATAGAGAAGATCTTGGTATTGATGATGCCTGGAAAATGTTACACTTATGCCAAAAATTGAAACTTTACTCAGAACTGTTTATACAGTTTTTAGTAGATCCAGCATCAAAAAAGCCAAACTTGAAGTGCTTGCTGAAGTTTTAAATGAAGATGTTTTATCATTCAGACCACTTGTCAAAAATTACACGGTTGCAGTCAAATATTTTAAAAATCAAACGGAGACAGAAAATGATCCGATAGCAAAATATTGCTTAAAAGAATTGCAAAAACCCCAGGTTTATGTTGTTTTATTTATACTTAAGGATGTGTTAACTGAGCTATCTGATTTATGTAATACATTTCAAAGAAGTTGTATATCAACTATAGAAGCTGTTCAATTTGCTAAGGCAAAGATTTTCAAATTAAAATCAAAATATTTAGAAAAAAACAAAGCTTCTTGGAATGATGCAGTTGTAACACTTTTATCAACTACAGGCTACGAAGATACAGATTTGAGTGCAATTTTGAGGTTTATTGAACGGTTGTGTCAGCATTTGCAGGAAGGGTTTCTAGCTGATGAATTAAATGAATGGATGGCGTTTGATACCCAAGCAGTCAAAAATCAAAATGATTATAAATTTGGAAAAAGAGAATTAAATGTATTAGTTGAAAGATATAAACATTTGTTTCCAGAGATCTCATTTGCAGAAATTCTATCTGAATATAACAATTTTAAATTTCTTTTAAAAGAGAAACTTGAATTTGGAAATGTGAAAGCATTCGATGATGTGATTGATTTTGTGCTAATGGAAGAAAAGTTTACTACTATGAAAACTTCTATGAAGAAAAGTTTACTACTATGAAAACTTTTATTGATATATATATGGTACTTTTCAAGCTTTAAGTGCTGATGCTGAACGTGGTTTTAGTTTGATGAATGCTATTAAAACTAAATCACGGAACAGACTTGAAATAAACCATCTGGACATGTTAATTCGAATAAAGTTTTATTTATTGAGTGGGCATCAAGTGGACATCGATGAAGTTTATAAATTCTGGATAACCAACAAGTGCAGAAGAGAAACTAGTGAACAAAATTGATTTAAAGTAATTTTTTATATTTTTTGAGTTTTAACATTTTTAACTGAATTATACGTCTATTTTAATAAATATATAAATAAACCTTATTTATGTGTTCACATATTTATGTATTTGGCAGCATTTTGGTACGGTTAAAGTTTTTCGACTATCGCAAATTTGCTCAAACTGTTGTTGTTGTTGTTGTTGTTGTTGTTGTTGTTGTTGTTGCCCTGGCAGGGAGGGTATGTTGCAACGGTTTGTTGAACATCTGGAGAGTACCAGAATATCCAATCGGCTCCACCACGAGAAGGCCTTTGTTCCAGAGTTGTTCCAAACTGTTGAAATACTTGCTCAGTGAATTTAATTTTTGCACACAGCTTGTTCTTCCTTAGAGGGAACATTGGTCTTATGGAAGTTTCAAGTGATATCAAATGATCTAACATAGATTTTCCCTTTGATACCTCCACATTGATATTTAGACAAAATTTGATTTTTTTCAAGAAACCAATTTAATCTATTACTAACTATTTTCTCCATGATCTTGCAGATACAACAAATCAAAGAAATTGGTCCGTAGTTTTTTGGATAAGTTTTGGCTTTTTTTGGTTTATTTATGGGCTATTGCCTGAAGCCAAATATCTGGAATGTTTGTGTTAATCCATATGCAATTGTAAGCTCTAAGAAGTATTGATAGCGCTTTTTGAGAAAGGCTTTTTATCATCTTGTAGGAAATTTGATCAGGACCAGGAGTTGAATCACTGCTATTATTTATTTCAAACGTCATTTCTCTCATCATGATTGGTGTATTATACAATTCTTGTTCTTCTGAATCAAAATTCAAAACGTTTTCTTCTTTTCTTGATTTAATATTTGCAAAATTTTTGTCTTGAATTTCGGAATTTTGATGGAAGTTGCAGGCTAAAATATTTGAAATTTCATTATCAGAACTAAAGAATTTGTTATTGTAGATAATATGACTAATTCTGCTATCATTATTTTTATTTTTTATTTTTTTCATCATTTCCCATAATGTGTTAATTGGAGTATAACAATTGAAACCTTCAATAAAAGAATTTCAACAATGTTTCTTTTCATCTTTTACTGTTCTGCGATCCTCGGCTTTTAACTTATTGTAATTTATAAAATATAATTGAATGGGGGTTGCCATTAAATGCTTTAAATGCTTTCTGTTTTTTTTATTGCGTTTTTGCATATTTTGTTAAACCAAGGATTATGTGTTTTTTCCTTTTTATTTTGCATTACTGGGGTAGTTTGTTTTATAGTCGCGGTTATTATTGTCATCCACTTGTTCATTGATTTATTATCAATTATTTCAAAACCATTCATCAATTCTTCTGTCTTTTTTTGAATTCATGTCAGTCAGTTTTGTTATAATTTAACCTCTCTTTTTCATTAACTATAGGATCTTTATATCTAATTGTTAATATTATTGGAAAGTGATCACTGCCATGGAGATCCTCTTCAGCCTCCCATTCTATATCTAAATACTAGGTCAATCATAAAGGAAGTATTTATGCGCTCATGGAAATTTTTCGGGTTTATTGGTTTAATGAGACAGAAATCATTTTCACTTATACTTTTTTCTAATTCTTTACCTTGTGCATTTGAACTTAGACATCCTCATAATTGATTGTGTCCATTAAAATTTCCCAACACAAGAAATGGTTTGGGGATCTGCTGCAGTATCTGGGCTATATCTTTGGATTTTATTAACATATTTAGGTTTATATATCCATTACATACTGTTATTCTAGTGGCTATGAAGTGGTGTTCTGTTATTACTTGGAAATGAGATGGAGTCACTCTATGATGAGCTAAAATGGGTGTTCCAGCTGATGGATTAGTCTTTGTTGTTGTGGCTGTTTTGTGGTAGATGGTGTAATTTTTAAAATTTATCTGTTTGTTTTCAATAGTTTTTGTCTCTTGCATACCAATTATATGAGGGTTATACTTCTGAATTAATATCTGTAGTTCAGGAAGGTTATTTTTCATCCCTCTTATGTTCCACTGAAGAATTTTAATGTCAATAGCATTTTCCTCTGTGATTAGAAGGAAAAACTTCATAATTATTACTGCAAGGTTGATTTGTGGTTTTGTTGTTAGTTAATATTTTATTCAAAGTCATTTTTACATTTGTTAGTGTTTTTGGGGTTTGTTAATTTTATATTATTATGAATTTCTCAATCTTCGTCATCTTTCATCTCACTGACACAATCTGAGTCATTGTTCATGCTTCGATCGCTGGGAAAATGATAGATGTCTGTTTTTCATTTGTTAATTTCTTTGTTATTTTTTTAGGTTTTGGTGTTTTGCAAGAATTTTGTTCTATTTTATTTTTTTCCTGTTTATTTTATTTTTTTCCTGTTTTGTATTTGAAAGTAAGGATTGATTACCGACTGATTTCTGGACATATTGATTTTTACCTAATGGAATATTTAATAAATTACACTGGATGCCCTGGTCTACTTTCATACTGTTTTTTCTACGATTTGAGAGTATAGAGGATTTTGAATTTGTGAGATTTGTGCTTTTGCCTGATTGTATGGAATGTTGCATTTTATTTTCTCTTAAATGATATTTTTTCAAGCAAAAATTTAGCACATTCTTTAGAGAATGTTTCATGTTTTTGTTTGCAGTGAAAACACTTTGGTTAGTTTTGGCATGGTGACTCCCAAGTATGCCCGTGTCCTGCTTGTCCACATTTTGCACATATCATCTCCTTGGTTAAATAGATTTTATGATAGTGTCTATATCTTTGACACCTCGTGCATCTCATCGGTGGAGGGATAAATTTTTCAACTTTTAGTAATTGAAAAAACACCTTCAACTCCTTAACGTGTTTGAGGTTATTTTCCGGTTATTGTTTGTTATTTTTATATTATGAACATCTATAACACCTTGGTCAAGTAATTTCTTGTTCAGAACTGTATCTAAATATTGTTGTTTTAATGACACCTTCACTGGTATTAAGTGTCTTATGAGGAGAAAATTTAACTTTTTCGTTTATAAAGTTATCCATTTTTAAAACATTTTTCCTCTACACAACTTTTTTTATTTTAACTAGAATTCTGTTTTGCTGGATTTTGATGAATTCTAATTCTCCAACTTCATTTTGAAAAAAGTTTGATTTTAAATATGGATAATCGTCTGAAGTCGTGGTCAGGGACCTGAGTTGCCCGTTCAATAACGAAAAACATTGGACCTTCAGGTTGATGATGCGACGGAGTCTGATGATAAGTCCACTCTGGACCTTTTATGTCGTTGCGCCAGTTTGGCTGACCCACCGGAGCTCTTCCCGTTATCTTCAAACAATTTGCGTCAACTATTAACTGATTAATAACAATCAATAACTAATGATTTTACTATAATATTAAAGCCAATTAGCGAAAAATTAATTTTAATTTAATTTTTTGCAACATCGGCATTAACCATTTATAACTCAATCCTTTTTAAATGTGATAAACTTAATAGTAATTAGCAATGTTTCGTTGTCGATGTAGTTGAGAAAATTTTAAACATATATTTAAATTAACAAATGTGTGTGTTTATATAAAATTGGAATTCAATAACAAATTTTTTCAATTTTTCAAAACCCCCCGAAAAAAGTTTCTGGCTACGCCCATGCCACAAGGGTTGTACTGTCTACACACCACACGATGCACATACACATACGTGTGTACGCGCAAGCCCCGCATCAAACGCGTATGATAGTCTTTGAGTTTCGGACAAACAGTATTCGAACCAGGCTGTCGCGAAACAGCAGCGCGAGACATGGAACTCCCATTGACTAAGCTAACTTGCCGGCCAAAATTCTCATTTGACTTACCCAATCACGTAAACGCCCGGTTATGTTTATGCATTTACAATTTTCAACAGCTTCGAGCAGGAGAGTCATAAACGACCGTAGGAACGTGAAATTTGCGCCTTCTATTTTGCCATTTATGTTATGTTTTAATAATGACAATAACTTGAACACGAAGAGAAACCCGTCTATAAAGTTGTATGGTCTTCCATGGGTGTTCCCTGGTTGGTTGGCCGATGACAGAAAGCTCAATCCATACTTCAACATTTCATCCACTGTCAGGTTCGTTTACTTATTTTATGTAGCCGTTACAATAAAACGTGGCATTATGTGAGATACATGTTTGATATTTACATTATGACATCGTGATGTTCATTGCGTCTATGGTAGCGCAAAAAATGCACTCGAGTTGCCTTGCGAGACGTCTCCAATTTGAATGGTTTTTGTTTTTCCAATTTACATTGAATTGTATCTAAAACCTTTTTATATTTACAAAGTCAAGTTCGCGCGGCAGGGTGTAGAATCACTTATATTTTGTTAGAAGATTTGATTCCACTCGTGAAAGAAAGGCATTGCCTCGACCTGCAAAATTTTACGACGTTCAGAGCGCCATATTTTTTAAAATTTTAACCGTAAAATGGAAATTTAAGTTGTGATATGAAAAACGTTATTTTATAAAAATGGCTTAAAGAGCATTTATTTATAATTCTACTCAACATCATCATTATGCATTTAAACATTGTCGGATTGAAAATTCTACTGAGCAAAACTAACAATCCTCAATAATGGATGTAAAACACCACGAGCTAAAATTAGTGCCGACTATAAAAGAGACTGCGATAACTATTCTGATAAGTATTCGGGCTGCTGGTGAATCCTCGGTAGGGACGATTAATATTCTTTTTTTCTCCCGTTCACTGTCCTGTTCTCAAACATAAGCGCAACGGCAACAACATTATCATCATCTTTATGCATTCAAAAGTATATTTTGTACGAATCTTGCGAAATAAAATACTTATCTAAAACAAATCAAGGGCTTCAAAATTATGATTGCTTGCTGTGTAGTTAATAAGGCTCTGCGTGAAGAAATTTTTAAATTTCATAATTCCAATACGTGTTTGGGTTTGCTAAACACACGGGAAAATAAAAATTAAAAAATTTTCAGCCTGATTATTAATTTCAATAATTTATCCGCTTAAGAAATCTTGCATGTCAAATTTATTACATTCTAATTTCACTTTTACAATTTCAAAAACTATTTAATGTTTTCTTTGATGAAAAATTTAAGTGTTATAAATTAATTGTTGTTTATTCAATTTTTTAATTTTTTGAGTTAGACATATTTTCTTGTTTGATTGTCATTTTAAAAGTATTAACAATTATAAAATTGTTTTCTGTCTGTTTGTTGTGTAACCAGTTAAATTGTATGCTAGTACGAATTTATTCATTAACCTCTGACATAATTTATTTATGGTTGAAGATACGTTGTGAACTGGATAAAGGGAGCAAAGGTTCATCACGATCTAGATATCAATTATATCGGGGTTCAGATATTTTTTATAAACCGTTTCTTTTTTTCATCATCACTTCACCAATTTGAGCATTGCTAATTCAACTGAACATCCTTTCTACATTAACCACAGTTTGATTCATTATTGTTGTAGTTCATTTCATTACTAATTCTATCAAAAACATTTCTATTAATATTTAAACAAGTGATATTTTGGTCAACAAATATTTGATTGATTGATTGATTGATTGATTGATTGATTGATTGATTGATTGATTGATTGATTGATTGATTGATTGATTGATTGATTGATTGATTGATTGATTGATTGATTGATTGATTGATTGATTGATTGATTGATTGATTGATTGATTGATTGATTGATTGATTGATTGATTGATTGATTGATTGATTGATTGATTGATTGACTGACTGATTGATTGACTGATTAATTGATTGATTGATTGATTAATTGATTGATTGATTGATTGACTGATTGATTGACTGATTGATTGACTGAATGATTGACTGAATGATTGTTCTTATAAGTATTATTTAATTTGAAGGTATGAACGAAAGAGAATGCAAC